GTCGCCGACCCATTGTTGGCGACGTGGCCTGCATTATTATTGTGTATCTGATTTCTGTGGTCATTACTGTGGCCCGAGTGCTCTAGTTGTTTCTGTGGTGATTATTTATAGTGGCAACGTCGGCCACCTGATGTGCAGCGCGCCATCGGCGGCGCTCGAGGGGCAGTCGGCGCGATAGGCGACCGCCCATTCCATCCATCGCCACTCCCCCTCCTCCCTCCTCTTTCCTCCCCGCTTCCCCCTCCTCCCTCCTAGTCCCTCCTCCTTCCTCAGAGCCTCCCTCCTCCATCCCCGCTCCCCCATTCATCATCGCCCCTCAACATCCACCGCCTCCTCCTCCTCTTCTGTGCTCACTTCTGTCTGTCTGGCGGTCTGCGCCATTTCTCCTTGCTGACTGACTGGCGCGGCGATCGGGGCTCGCGCCTGTGCTGAGAACAACGCGTGCTCAGCGGAGACGATCTCTCCCTATTTGATTCTGGGTCTGGGGGCCCAGGTGTCACCAGGTCAAATTATTCATTGATTTCTTCACAGTAGTGGTAACACTACTTAGGGCTTTTTTTTCGTTCGGGCCCGAAGGACTTGGGTGGGTCGGCCGAGGTTTCGTCGTATACGTGAGCGCCCCCATGGCGCAACTTATGGTGCCAGTATTATGGCACGGCCTATGGTGGCGCACAACCAATGGCGCAACCTATCCCCCAAATAATGATTATGGCGCTACTTCTGGCGCACCAACTTTGGCGGGTCGGCCGAAGTTTCACTGCGCGGGCGCCCCCATTGCTCAACCTATGGGCGCATCCTACGGCGCAATCTATGGCGCAACCTGCGGCGCACAAGCTTGCCCGCCGCTGGGTGAAAGAGGCGCGACTGCCACCGCTCACCACTCGACAGATCAGTCCGCCTAGCGAGAGGGCCCCAACCACCAGCAATGATCAGCTCCTCCTCTTCTTGCCTTTTGATTTTGAAGGGGGGCCTTTTCTGATGCCCGTCAATGGCTATTCTGCGTTCCGACTGCGTGGTAATAACTGGCTGTTTGTTTGGGGCCCACGTTTGCAAGCGCATCGCCATGTCGTCGGAGGAGGTTATTAAGGCCAAACCGTTGATCTACGCGATACGCCTGTCAGAAAACAGGGGGCGTCTCTGGGTTGGCAGAGGAGGGGAAAGGAGGAGAAGGAGGAGAATGGGCGCCCATGGTTCAGGATGAGGTCCAGCAGCACTTGCTGGAATCTCGACGCAGCAGCCATCGAGGCGCGACGCGAACTTGCATATGTTAAGTCCTTAGCCTCGTCGAGCTTGGAGCCCAGGAGGCTGGCGAGCGAGAAATCGCGCGCTTTCTGGCTCGCCAGTCTGGAGCGCTCCGGACTGGCGAGCGGGCTGGCGCTGAGCGTAAGTAACTCTGGCGAGCGAGAAATCGCGCGCGCGATCTGGCTCGCCAGAGTTACTTGCACTCTCCGGGTAGTGCTCTCGCCAGCCTGGAGCGCTCCGGATTGGCGAGCGAGAAATCGCGCGCGCTTTCTGGCTCGCCAGTCCCCTGCGTCTCAAACTCAGCGAGGCAGCGGACTTAAGACATGCAGGGTATGCAGATAGTTCATACATGACACCTGGCGCACCCTACCCAGGATAGACAGAGATGCGAAGCCTGCCAATCAAGCCGAACGATACCATCATAATGCTCCTCCCTCCTTCTTCGTTCTTCCCTCCATCCATTCATCCTCCACCCTCTTCGCTTACTCATCACTCCTCCCTCCTCCTCCTCCTCCTCCTCCTCCTCCTCCCCCTTCTTTCTCCTCCTCCTCCTTCTCATCATCCGCCCTCCCTCCTCCCTTTCATCCTCCTTCTTCTGGCGCACCCGCCCCCCTCCCTCCCCCCATAGTATCATCCTTCCTATCTCCTCTCCTCCTCCCTTCGAGGACGAGGGGCTGACCGAGATGGGGCCCGGCGACGCGACCATGTAATGTGACGCACATACAGTATAAATACATCACGTTTAGCTGGTCCGCGCCTATACATAGCCATGAGGCTCAGACAGACAATCAACCCAAGATTTTTAGGTGTATGATGGATGATTTTTTTGCGTCTACTATGCCTTATTTCAAGACCGTGCGGCGGGGGCCAGCCGCGTCCAAGCATGTCCCCCCCCCCAGAAAAAACGGCCCGATGGAGCACCATCTGCAATGCCTGCGACACCTGTCATCAAACGACAGGTCCAGAAGCGCCGCCCCGCCAAGAATAAGATCCCGACTGTCATCATTCTGAATAAGGATATCTTCAACGCGACCCTCGCCCTCAATATAACCCCTATTCCGCGGGATTGGGCTGGTTTGATGATCAACTCAGAGAACCCGCTCATCATAGGGACGGACTGTGCTGGTCTTTGTTCGATCGAGCAAGGGCTTGAACGTAGTCGTTTGGCTCGCCATCTTGTTGCCGCTTTCGCCTCTGAGAAAGACGAGAAGACCCGATTTGCGCTCGCCAAGAACTTCGCGCCCGGGGCCCTGTTCGGGGACATCTGCGAGCGGAGTGCCACGGACGTCCCCCAGGTGCACTTCTACAGCGCGGGGTTCCCGTGCCAACCGTTCTCGGCTGAGGGGGGCGGAGGACGGGGGCTAACAACTTGGGACGCTAAAACCCATGAGATGTATGCCCTCCCTGTTGTTGTTCCCAAGGGTCAACGTGGTCAAAATAGTTGGGCGTTCCCAGGGTTGAGATTCACGCATGCCCCCACCCTCCCGCCGCCTCATCCTCATAATCCAATTTACGTATCCTGCTCAACCCATTTCTTCATCCTCCCACCTTGCTACCCCTCTGCTCATGATCACCGTGCTCCTCCAGTCAGTCTCTTCCTCCTTCTCCTCATCGCATCCTGCCCGCAACTCCCTCTCTCTGGCTCCTTCCTCCCCATCCTCCTTTCTCACTCGCCTCAACCCATCATCCCCCGCCTCTCTCTCCCTTGTCTTCATACTTCTACTCCCCCCTCTCCGTTCGTTATCATCCCTCCCGCTGCGCCGATGGCGAACCTGAATCGAACCGACCGCCCCCCCAGGAGGCCTCTTCGCAGATAAGCACAATCGTGGAGACGCTTGCGCTGAAACCATAGAGTACATCCGACAACGGAAACCTATGTTGTTTATGTTGGAGAACGCGTCGGGTTTGGCTCGTTCGCACAAGCGCGACATGGATGCGATCATCGCGCTGATCAGCGACGTCAAGTCCGCAAGCGGCCAGAGCGAGTACAAGATCCTACACACAACCTTGGACGCGAAGCTGCACGGTGGACTCCCTCAGTCCCGACCGAGAGTCTATGCTGGGGCGTTGCCCTCTGCCGCCAGACCCCCTCCCTGACGTTCTGGCTGGCTCATCGGTTGGTTCGTCCTTGGATTGTTGGCAAGTAAGTTTGATGCCAAATGGCTGGTTGGATGTTGGCTGGTTGGCATGGTTCCTGGTTGGGTGGCTGGCTTATCGGTCGGTCGGCTGGTTGGTTAATTAGCGGGCTGGTTGGCGGGTGGTCTGTCCGAAAGGTTCTTGCGTTGATGAATGAGAATGCCCGCTCAGGCACTCGCTCATGCGACCCCCTTTTCAACCAACAAACTGGCTAGTGATGCTAATAATGTCACTGACCCCTGGAGAGGGGATGGGCGGGAACCCCGCGACAGTGAAATGGCCTGACGCCTTTGGCGCTCAGCCAGCGGACATTATCGGCGCTCTCAAGAGCGCCATGAGACGTGATCTTACTTGGCCTAACCCGATTCCAATGCAGACCCTCGGCAGCATCCTCCTTGCCCGATCTGGCAACGATAAGTTGGCCCCTTGGCAGATTGGTAAGAGAGATGCCATGCTTGCCCACATCAACCAAACAGACCCCTATCAGCGTGATGTCTGGGTTGGTGATATTCAGAGCGGCCGGGCATCTAGCAAGCCCATGTGTGGGATAGTCCCGTGCCTCACTCGCAATCGGGCTGGCGAGGCAGGGCATTGGGTGTTTAAGAAGTGCAGGTGGCTTCACTTAGAGGAGATCGAAATGCTCCAAGGCATGGAGCCTGGTCGCATCGACTGGACGGGCCTCTGCTCAGAGCGGGCCTATAGGCAAATGATCGGCAATGCTTATACTGTGACGGTGGCCACGCGCGTTGCCTTGCAGTTGCTTCGCTCAGTCGTGCATGTGAAGTGCCTGCCGCTCTTGGAGGACCCCTGGGCCTAGAATTGAATGCTCGTGCGGTCTGCGAAGCAGTGTATTATTGAAGAGCGCCGGTCGCTCCCATCATTATTCCTCCCTTCTCTCTCCCTCTCGGCCCCCTCCATGCACGCCTCCTCGCCCCCTCTGCTCCGCCCGCGCATCATCCCATGCATGTACTGTCTGGCTCTGCGTGCTAGTACAACGTGTGGAAATACGTTTGGCCCACGGCAACAACAAATGATCACATGGGGGATCAAAACCATCCACGCGTGCAAATCAATTTAGCATAGTGACGCCCTCACCCCCGGCGGCCAATTCCACAACCCTCCTTGCTAGATAGACGGGCTGCGCGCTCTCTGAGGACATGCTTGCAAACGTGGACCTCAAACAGTGAGTCATCTTATTCCGGTTTATCATGTGCACGCCGCATTCCAAAGCAAAAAGCGCACATGTAGCGAAACCTTGTCCGATCCGCCCAATCGGTTGCGCCATGAACGCCCGCGTGGCTACTCTTCGGCCGACCCACTCAATTAATTTGTTGCGCCACAGGTTGCACCTGAAGGGCGCTCGCATGGCGAAATCTGGGCCGACGCGCCCGGTTCCTTGGGGCCGAAACAAGATCTCTAATATGATATCTAAGTGCAAGCACTGCTTGGGGGACTGTTCATATTGTCAGGTGGCACACATACTAGAACAATCCATACATACTGAGCCGTTTTGGCTTAAGATTTCACTGCCAGACTCATCTCAGCCAGCAGGGTCGGCTGGCTATCTGCGCCCACTCACTGCCACTGCTACTACTACTACGCGGACTCGCTGCGGAGACATCATGGCACCCAAGAAGCAGCCCAAGGCCGCAGCGAAGAAGAAGGCGGCCCCTGAAGGGGAGGTTGTCGGCGAGTCGACCGGGTCGAACAACGTCGCCAGAGTCGGGAAGCTCGCGCCGCTCTCAAAGGAGGAGCTCGCTGTCAACGCCGAGATCTACGCGACTGTCAATGCGTCGCTGGAGCTCATCGAGAGTAACCCCGTCTTCTCAGGAATTAGAGACATGGCGCCCCTGTCATTGAAGGTCGCTGGGGACGACGACGCCAATGATGACGACCCAATGAACTGGGGCCAGATCGCGCCCTTCGACGCCGAGACTTTCACGGACACCTTCAAGACTTCGGGGCGGGTCACCTGTGGCATCAATTTCTTCGCCATGGATGTTACGTACAGCGCTGCGCCAGGGGTTCCGATTCGCAAGAAGGCGGTGTCATCCCTGACGGAGCACTACTATGATCAGCCTGCATTCTTCATGGGCTCCGTGACCATTGGCGTGGCCAAGGATAGCGACGACGTTCCGAGCTTGATGGCGTCGCATAGTCTGAAGTCCCCCTCCCCAGAAGAGAAGCGCTTCGCCTTCGTCGAGGCGATCGCGCGGGACATTCGGGCTGGTAAGGGCGACTTCGTGCTCAAGAGGTGGAGGCATTTAGGTTTCCGAAGTCACCTGGTCGTCGCCTCCCCACCCAGGGGCGCGTGCAACGCACGCGCACGCAACACCAACCATCCAAACATATCAGAGCAATGCCATACTATATAGTTGTTACGTCCGTGTGTGGATGTTCGGATGTAGATTTTAACGTTAATACATATACATAAGTCAGCAGTGGAATCATACATCAAGCATTGCACGGTCTGCCAAGCTATTCTAAGATGAGTGTTCAGACGTTTGTTTGATGTTATCTCCCCGGGGGTTTCCCCCAGGCAGTGCGCTCTGTCAGTCAGCGCATGCTTCGTGGATCTGTCGACTGATGACGCCCTGCACTGGCAGGCAGTGCAAGAGAGAGAAGATTTCGGGACAGACTTCGAGGCGATGCGTCGCAGCGCCGTGCAGCGCCTCTACGAAATCGTGAACTACAAGAAATGCAAGGAGGACCTTTCGAAGAACACCCTCACCACGCTGCAGCTCCAGGAGGAGTACAAGAAGGTGAAGCTGGGATCGTACAGCGAGGAGATCTCCGACACGTTCATTGAGATGGCGCTCAAGGTCCACAAAACCTGTTTCGGCATTCAGTCGATCTCGAAGCTCCTGCTCATGTGCGATTCAGAATATGGCAGCCGCAACCCCTTTGACTACCTCGCCAAGTTGGACAAAATCAGCCGGCGGGCCAAGGGTGACGAGCTTTCGTGGGTTTTCCATGCGCTCCATGATGCCTGGAAGTATGGTTTCATGACAGACAGCGGCCTGTCCCTGAGATCCATCGAAGGGAAGGGCACGCTAGCCGGCAAGAGCGTTGTTGACATCGCCATTTTCAAAAAGAAGCTGAGGGATCTGTTCATGGAGAAATTGGCCGATTTTCCCCAGTGGACGGAGGAGGTGAAAACCAAATTCAGGGTCGTGTGCGCCGGCCACTTGCTCTTCCGCGAATTCAACGGGTGCCCAGACGAACGCGCTAACATCACCTGGAAGGCGGGGTGGCCGCCGAGCGCGGTGGAATACCTTGCCTTCATCGATGATACCCTGGGGTCAAAAAAATGCTGGGTCAGTATCGTGTTGTGCGTTTTCGGGCTTCGCATGCTTTCGGGGCTTTCTGGGCTGATGTTCCAGAAACTTTCTGGATTGTTTCAGAGGTTTTCTGGATTGATGTTTCAGAGGGCTCTGGATAGATACTTTGATGTTGTCGCTAATAACTAATCAGTAGCTCGGAGAGTGAGTCCACGTTGTCTGTGCACCACTAACATCAGGTTTGTATTCCGCATTTCCCTTTTTAAAAGATTCGTCAATTTCTGAACGTGCTGTTTCTGAAGGGCGATCTGGTTCGGCACGATATTTTCCCAAGGTGATGCTGCTATATAGCAGGGGCAGGGTATAGATTTGTAGGCTGAACGCTGACTGGTAAAGTACTTAACTATTTGATTTACCTCGCCTGAAGGACGCCACATTCGGTTCAGCAACTATGAGTTGGCAACCCGCCGTCGCGCAGTGCGTCATGCACAGGAAGGGCGCTGGCGAGTTTTTCGAGCTCAGCAGCGTGGATGAGCACATGACACACATCAAGGAAATGGCGCATTTGGAGGTCGGGACGAAGCCGCAGGAGGAGAAACAGCCTGCCAACGAAGTGGAAGTGAAACCTGATGATGAGACCGGTGACACTACTTCGCTGACCAACCCGGAAAATATTCAGCTGGTCTCGCCGGGGAATCTCGTGATCGACGTGTCTGCCAAAAGTGCTGACGAGATGCAGAAGTTGAACCTCTTCAAGAGGAAGGTCGCGGAGCTGGTGCGGTCCCACGTGGAGTTCGTCCCCGACATGACGAAGGAATGCGATCTCATCCAGGCGCTCAAGAACACCGAGGCTGGGAGGATCAAGGGCTCCAAGAACGTCGAGAACCCTGCTCAGTCATCCTACGTTGCCATCGTATACGACTCGAAAGTGTCGGGCGAATGCTCCCATCGGCCCCATCTGAGGCAGGTCTACTTTCGCTCTGAACACTGCAAGCGGTTGCTCAAGGTCGCGCTCAACCTGAAGGAGCCCGATGCGATCGCAGACGGCGACCTCTACATCCTGCCAGACGGTGGCAAGCACGGTCACAGAGGGGTAGCAATGCAAGATAGCGATGCAATGCATACATACGCGCACATGGGCACATGATACACGTATAAAGTACACGTGCACAAGCACATGCATATGCATACACAAACGCATAGACAGAACCATTTGCACATACATGAGCGAAAACATCTAGATCTACAGTACATATGCGTGCACATGTATATATTTGTATACACTCACACCTACAAGTACATGTACATACAACTGTATACAAGCAAGATCTAACACATATATGTTATATATCGACATATCGATACATACACATATATCCACACACCTGCATGTACAACTCGTATATATACACATATGTACGTCAATATACACATACAACGATACACACACATGCATGAAGTATCTGTCCTCTGACAGAGAATGATGAGGAAAAGGAATAGGAGGAGGAGGAGGAGGAGAAGGAGGAGGAGGAGGATGCGGGTGGAGGAGGGGCTAGATCCCACGATCTGATAAGGGGAGTGAGGACTAGCAATTAGTCCGCCGTCCAGGTAACGAGATGGCGCTGCTGAGTGGTCTGTGCGACGCGAACCAGAAGGCCCCCCAGAAATGCAAGAAGGTGCTGTACGTGATGTACTCCGAGGCCAGCATCCGGGAGAGGCTCAAGATCTGCCGGAACACAAGCGGTGCTCTACAGGTGGAGTGGATGCTCCTCATCACCAGCAGCTCGCTGACGCTCCCAGACAAGCCGCGCATCCACTTCGAAGGAACATCCAACGGCGAGTTCGTGGGGCCCGTGGCATGGGCACCTTTCGACTCCTCCGACACGTGGTGCCTTCCCCAGGCCATCAAGAAGACTGTGATCACAAAGACCAACGTGGTTCTCGCAGGGGGCTCGACCTACGCCCCTGACACTACCACCGACGAGAAGAAGGAATCGGAGAAGGAGATCGCCTTCATTCGCTCCTTGAAGAAGGAGAGCGAGCCTGTTTTCTTTCACGCTACGCCGACAAAGTTGTGGGAAGAGATCTTGCACTGCCACAGCGCCAAGGCGGCGGTGGACCTGGCCCCTGCAGATGGGGCGAGGGCTCTGGCAGCCATCCGCGCCCGCATTCCTTACGTCGGGGTGGCCTTCAACACTGCCCATCGCGATCAGCTCTTGATGCACGTCGACAAGACCGTGCTGAAGATGTTCCAGGTCGAGGGCGACAAGCTTTACCAGCCAGCGTTCGCCGAGCTCTTGAAGGACAGCCCCGTCGAGGAAGCTGGAGCAGATGAGACGAACAAGAAGACCTCTGCTGGCAAGCGCAAGCGCGAGACAGCTCAGAATGGCCAGAAAGAAGATCCCAAGCAGGCTGCAGCTGGTGGTCAGTCCGGTGGGGGTTCCGATGACGCCAAGAAAGCGTTGCTCGCAAGGGTCGCGCCCCTGTCCAAGGGCAAGGCCGACGCCGCGGCGGGCGGCTCCAAGGGCGGCAAGCGCCAGAAGAAGGAGGCGAACGCGGATGAGGAGATGGACGAGGATGGCATCGACGAGCTCGATGATGATATGGGTGAGGCTTGAGTTTTCAGTCCTGGCGTTGATTTTCGCCGTCAGCAGGGCGAGGCTGGGGACGACTGCCGCCGTCGTTGTTTCATGATGATCGGGCATTGGTTCTGGTGGTTTTCACCAATGCAGAATGATCTGGTTTCACGATGGCGGCGGCTTTGCCCTGACGGCCTTTCGTTTCAAGGTGGCCAGGTCTGGCGGCAGAGCTAGCGCAATCAAGAATAGGAGGATGAGGAAGATGAGGACGTGCAGGAGAGGGGTAGAGGAGGACGAGGAGGATGAGGATGAGGAGGAGAACCTATGCTTGACATCCTGCCACTGCTACTCCAACTGATCACTCTCTCTTACTTATCCTTCTCGTCATCCTTCTGCTCCGCCGTGCCCGGTGTATCGGATGTTTGCGCAAGCTCGAGCTCGAACGCCGCCGTGCCCCAGAAGGGGCCGCCAGGCTGCGACCGCCAGGAGTAGATAGAGGGGGGGGCGGGCGGGGAGAGAAGGAGGAGTGGGAGGGTCATGGGAACGAGCTGCGATACTCCTCATTTGTTTGGTGGCGTGACTCGCCCCTCCTCGGTCGTCCTCCTCCTCCTCTTCGTCCTCGTCGTCCTCCTCCTACTCCTCCTGCCTACTCACTCCTTCCTCCTCGTCTCCTCCTCTACTCCACTATCCACCTCGCTCCTCCTCCTCCTCCGACCACTTAGTCGCGACTCTACTCCTGCGACCCCGGCTCGATGCCGCGCCCGCCAGCGAGTTCCATTGCGAAGACAGCAGAGTATATCTTAATGAGTGCTTGCAATCTGTGTTTCAATGTACGCTCGGGTACCCATCATCACCGATGCATCGGCGCAGCTTGCTTGGCTCGGGCATCTGGTGACACGCATCACCTCTTACTATACGCTGTGCAAACATAATGACAACCATTAACATCATTCGCATTGGGCCCCTTATACACAAATGTAGGGTATGCGAGTACGTGGGCGAAGTGTACTTAAAAATCCCCGAGGGTGAGGCTGGCAGTTTTACGAGCTCCGACACGTTGGAAACGACGGCGGACCCTGATCGTCGCGAAGATCAGCACGGCCAACGTGCGCCGAAATGGTATGAATCTTGGATGTGTCGCCACTGCGGCGAAGTGTACACGGACGGCCGGGACCATTGCAAGCCGTGTTGCGCCCTGCCCAGTGGAACGATCGTAGAGGACCCCACGGAGAACAAATCTCGTTATCCTTCCACCCGGGGGCCCCCCAAGAAGAGAATGATTAGGGCGATGATGATGAGGAAGAGGAAAAAGGCGCATGAGGACGACGATGAGGAGGAGGAGGAGGAGGAGGATGAGGACGACGACGAAGAGGAGGAAGATGAGAATGACGAGGGGGAGGAAGAAGAGGACATGAGGAACGAGATAACACGTTTCAAACATCCCTAGAACATCCGTAACAAACCATTGATGTACTTCGTGGATGGCTTCTGGGTGGAGGACGCGCCGCTGGTGGCCAAGCCAGCGAGGGCGAGCGAGGCACCACCTTCACCCCTGGCTGGCGGGCACAGGCTCATCACGCCCCTTTCGCCTCCAAGTCCCCCTCGTCTTCCTTCTTCCTCCATCCTCGCCCTCCTCCGTGCCTTCGTCGTCGCCCTTACTTTATCGTCGTCGTGCTCTGCTTCTTCCTCTTCTCCCTCCTCGCGCTCCCGAGGGCAGCGAAAAAGACGAAGCTCATTCCATCTTACGACGGGCAACACTTGATTTCAGCGTCGGAATCATCAGATGATGCGCAGCCCACTGATCCTGGCCCGCACGGAGCGACTGGCCAGCCAGAGCCCGTAGAGGTGACAGATAGCTTAGTTCATGATTGAACCCGTGCCTCTGCCCGGGGAAGAATGAGTTGCCGTCGTCGTGCGCAGCGGAAAACATATTTTTTTGCGCTCGCCCCCCGCCAGGAGGGGGGGGGGGAACAAAAAAGGAGGATGAGGAGGGGGGGGAGGAGGAGGAGGAGGAGGAGGAGGAGGAGGAGGAGGACCAGGATGCGGAGCTCTCCTGGAGCGCACTCTGACCAGGATGTGGAGGAAGAGGAGGAGGAGGAGGAGGAGGAGGAGGAGAAGAAGGACGCCCACGCATCATCATCGGCACCAGGGCCTTTCCTGGAGCGCCGTCTGACCAGGATGTCGGGGCGAATCCAGACTTGGAGTGGCGAATCCAGCCTTGGCGAAGAGGTGGGCTCAAGTGGCCACGCAGAGAAATGCAAATGACATTCGAGTCCTGGCGCACACGTGTCGCGCGCGCGTCCCCTCCGCCCGCCCAGCTGGAACGTCGTGCATTGCATTGCGCCGCTTTGAATATATGTGGTTCACCTGTTACGTTGCTTGACGTTGCATTGCGTTTGGGAAGCTGGATTTTGGCTTGCGCGCGTTGACTCGCATTGCTTTACGTTTGCATGCGACTCGTGCATTGTATTGTCGCATGGTGCCTGAGCTCGGAAACAAAAAAAACTGCAATCGGATAACATAACATGAAGATACGTGTAATCCGTAGCCGTTTTGGCTCAAGGGAAATTCATAAATTCAAAGTTCATGTTTGGCCTTTGTTGGTAGCATGGTGCGCTGGGGTTGCCCCGCAGAGCTGGCGCAGGACCTCGTGCAGGGGCCTCCGAGCCCGCCGCTGCGCGATGAGCTGCTCAGGGCACTGTTCGCGGACGTGAATGCTGACGGCGGCGACGCGGTTCGGCGTCGGCGGCGCCGCGGCTCAGCATCGGCGGCTGGGATCGGCTGCGACGCCGTGGCTCGGCATCGGCATGGTACCGATGACGATGGACACAGCGGCTCGGCGTCGGCTGCGGCGCCTCGGCGGCTCGGAATCATCAGCAACGCTACTGCAGCAGCGGGGGCGCCGAGGCTTGGAATCGGCGGCGACGATGGGCACTGCAGCTCGGCATCATCCTCGGCGGCGGCGCCGCGGTTCGGAATCGGCGGCACTGGTGAACACTGCATCTCGGCATCAGCAACAACGGCGGGGCCACGGCTCAGAATCGGGGGCAATCATGATGGTGCTGATGGTGGTGATGCTGGGCACCGCAGCTGGGCATCGGCGGCAAGGCCACGGCCGGTGGCCTCACCATCGGCGGCGGCGGCGCCGGGGCTCGGAATCGGCGGCGCCGAGGATGAGCACCGCTGCTTTCGAAGCAGAAGTCGGAGCAGAGACGCGGGCAGCAGGAGGGCGGCGGCGACGGCGGGGGCGGAGCCCAGCAGCAATGGCTATGGGCTGGCGCGCGTCGCGCGCTGGGCGCCGCCGCCGTCGCCGGAGGAGCGCCGTCGCATTCTTCTGGAGTCGGCGCGAGAAGATGCGATGCACGTCATGGCGCGTGCCATCGCGCGCCATCCGGGGCGCATCCAGGCGCAACAGCCTCTGTTGGACTTGTCGCAAGGCGACCTGCTGCAACGGGTCACCGACCTCCTGCCGCCACGACGTGGGGGGGAAGAAGGTGGAGCGGCATGCGTCGGCTCCACCTCCGACCCCGCGTGGCGGTGGGAGGGTGGCTGGTGCTGGCGGTGCGAGCGCAGCGTGGCTCACCCTCGCTTGATGCCAGCGCGCATGATTGGCCACGGCCAGCGTGGATATCGGAGGATGGTGGTAGTTGGTTCTTTTTCAGACGCAGAGACGGCGAGCATGGAAGCCGCCGCGTTGCGACGCCTGCAAAGCTCGGGAAGGGAGATGAATGCCGATGACGCGCCGCCACGGGGAAACCCATCGACACGTTACTACTCATTGGTGAGTTGTCCCTGGGCGCTGATGAAGCGCCTTTCGGCGGCAACGTGTTGATGAGGTCCCCGCGGCGGCGCGACATCATGCATTCATGTTCCCTCCCGAAAAGCAAGCTTGCGAACGTAGCCATAGACGATCGCGGCCTTGCCATCTCTCCGCTTCTTGCATACAGCTTTCTCTATGTGTGCATTCCATGACGATAAGGTTTCATTTCGGCTTACGCCGCCATTCCGCTGGCCCCATACGGTGAGCTACGATATGATGTGCCATGCTAAATTACGTTACTTTGATATAAGAATGCATTGCGTTGCTGTGTTACGTACGACGCATTCTATGTCATGAAATGCTGTGCGATGGTGTGGTAGCACGGCTCGTCTGCTATGCGATGCTATGTTGTGGCTGTTACATACTATGGTGTGATATGTTATGACATGCTACAACGTGCTATGATATGAGTGTATGCAACGCTATGATGTGTTACGTATGCCGTGCCATGATAGCCGATGCGTGCATGCGGTGATCTGTGTTGCTTGCGGCGTTGTGATATGACATGCTATGTGACGATCTACATTATTTCATGATATTATGTGTTTGTTGTGCTATGCTATGATTTGGTATACAGTTGGCAACATGCAACGCACTGCAACGTGATGCCATGCAATGTCGTACAAATGTACACACTCGGCAAGAGCGTGCGTTTATCCATGAAGAATTCAACCTCGATTCTTGTGCTGGCCCCTGTGCCCGTCAGACTTGACGATGCGGCCTGGCCTGTAACTGCGCGCGGCCGCCACGCAACCCCAAACGCATGTTCCGCATGAGCTAAGGCCAGCCCAGCGAGGGGGGCCTCACATCGGACTCGACGCTCGAGGACTCGTTGGCCGATCTCCTCGAGGCCGATGGGGTGGGTGCTGGGGGGGGCGGCGCCGAGCCGGAGCCACCAGCTGCCGCTGCTGTCGCGATGGCTGTCGCGCCAGCCAAGGCCGCGCCCGCCGCGCCGCGGGCGCAGCCCATCACTGTGGCGCCGCATACTGGCCCTGGCGAGTTCACGCCCTCGGATCCCGCGCTGGCGCGCGCCTGCGAGCACGCGAGCTTCGACGTCGCGGTGTTTGGGCGCGTCGCCGCGGAGGCGCTGGCGGCAGATGACCCGCTGAGGCAGGCCGCGGTGGCCGCTTGCACGATCGATGACGACGCGCCCCCCACGCAGCGCTCACCCCCTTCGCCGCCGTGCTCTACGCTGGCGATGCGAACCCCCCGCCGCTGT